CCAGTGCCACCAAGCATGGACAACATGTTACTGCCATCCCACCCCAATGAGTCCCCTTGCAGGTTCTGAGAACAAATCCTGCCACCTCCTTACCCGCCTCCTGCCAGGGGACATTTCTGTGCGTCCTCCCATTGGGTGCATCACTGGGCAGAGAGATGTTTTTCTGTAGAGGGAGAGGGATCTGAATGGGACACAACCCTGTCCCCAGGCTCTGCAGATGCCAAAGCCCTGCAGCACATCATGGACCCCGCAGGACCTCACTACCCTATATCTAGTAGGGGAGCAGGAATTTGGGGATCACTTGCCTTCTTCCTGCCCTTTTCCTTCAGCCTGGCTTTGCTCTTGGAGGAGCAGACATTGTGCTTGGTGGACTTGAAGGTCTCCAGGCGCCTCTTCATGTTCTGCCGGAAGATTTCTTTATCTTGGCGTTCTTGTTTATCTGGAGAGATGAAGTGACGGCTGTAGCTGGCCTTGTACTGGCCGAGGGAGAGGCAAAGAGACACAGGGTGAGCAGCCAGCCCCGCGCAGCACCCTCCATCCCTGCTCCTGCTGCAGGCGGCAGCGCTCACCCGCCGCCGGGGCTTGTAGAGGCTCCCGCGCAGCACGTGGTGCATGGCTGCATCCTCCTTGTCCCGCCGGCTCCGCACCGTGTCGATCACCTGCAGGTCCAGGCATGCACCACTCCCGCTCTCCCTCCTGGGAAATTGGAGCATCCCAGTGGATCTGGCTCATCCCAATGGATCATGCACATCCTGATGAATCCGACCCATCCCAATGGACCCAACCAATACAATGGATCATGCTCATCCCAATGGATCTGACCCATCCCAATGGATCTGACCCATCCCAATGGATCTGGCCCATCCCAATGGATCCATCCAATCCCAGTGGGTCCAGCTCATCCCAGGGATGATGCAGCCAAGAAGTGCTGCCCAGATGCTGGGGCATAGAGGGATGCTTGCACTCACAGCAGGTTTGTAACTGACGACTCTGACATGGACGTGCGGCTGGGCATGGAGGGCAGTGCCAGCTTGGCAGCTGACAGCACGTGGCCACCCTGGTGGAGTGACAGAGATGGTCTGGAGGGGTTCCCACCACCTCATCCAGTGGGACCCAGCTCCCACCACACACCCCTACCTGGTCCACAAAGCTGATGGCATCACGGATGTTCAGCTTGTAGTAGACATCCCAGATCTCATCCCGCAGCTTGTAGGCAGATTTCCTCATCAGGAGCTGGCTCAGGTACTTTTTGTCAAACTGCTCCCACCTGCAGCAAGATGGACACGTGGGTGGCTAAAGTCCCACGGGGGATGGATGGATGGATACAGTGGTCGTTGGACGTTTTCCCATGCAAAGTCCAAAGTGCCCAAAGCATGAGGAGAGAAGGCTGTGCCTGGGAACACCCTGGCAGAAGACAATAGGAGGGGACAGGACATGCTGCCACACTGTCCCCAAGCCAAGGGGAAACCGGAGACCCAGTGACGGGCGCAGGGTTGGAGCTGGTGGAGCTGCCCAGACAGAGCTTCCCTACAGGAAGCAGGCTCTCTGCACGCTTTTCCTGTTGTGATTCTGCAGACAAACACTCTCAAAATTTTAACAATTCCTTCCTCAGTATCCAGTGTGTCTCTGTCTGGGGAGGCACAATGACATCATGGCCACCACAGTCCTGCAGCAACTCCAGCATGGGCAATGCCACCTTGTGCCCTGAGTCACCTCTGCCCAACCTCTCGTTAGGACACTTCTGGAGCCAGTGGTTTGCATTGTACCATGCAGATGGACAGACATACCCCCTCCTGGTCCTGCTGCCTTGCCCACAGCAGGACTGTCCACCTTGGGATGTCCCCATGGCTGCCACACTACCCCATCCAGCTGAATGCCAGCAGACAAGACACTCACTTGTCCCGCCAGTAGTGGTAGCCATGGTGTCCCACGATGTCCTCCACTGCTGCCAGGATGTGGTCAAAGGCCTGGAGTGAGGAGAAAAGGGTGAGAGTGGTGGAGAGTGACCCAGGCTAAGCATGCCTCATCTTGGTGCTGCAGGGAACACCTACGTGCTCGTGTAGCTCCTCATTCAATGTGGGTTTGTGGTGGTCGCTGCGTTTCACTTTCAGCCACGTCACCAGTGGTTTGATGGTGAGGCCCTGGAATGGCAGGAGAGGGCATGGGAAAGACTGGGAGGGCAAGAGGGTGTGTGGATAGGGCATAAGAGCAAAAGGAGCACAAAGTGACCAGGGGCATTGGTAGTGACAGCCACGTGCAATGTTCCCACTGTGCTTTGGGTCTGTGTGATGGCACTGTGGGGATCTGACACCTGGTACCTAATGTCCCAAGTCATGCTCCTCCAGACCCCAAGGCTGGCATCTGCCCATGGTGCTGCTCCCCAAGGGCAGAGTGCCCATTCTCACCTGCACGATGACAGTGAAGAACACCACCACGATGGTCGTTGCCACAAAGTAGTCCTTGGCTTTCACCTTTGCCTCATCCAGCAGGATAACCAGGGCGAAGGCGACGGCTCCACGGAGGCCACCGTATGACATGACCACCTGGTCAATCCTGTCCAAGGGGATGAGGCGGAAGCGGTTGAGGACATAGGTCTGGAGGACAACACCTGGAGAAGAATGAGGATGAGAGTCTGGGATGCCACCGGAGCCCCATAGATGAGGCAAAGCCAAAACCAAGAGCCACTCTTGGAGACTGCTGCTTTTTGGCAAGAAAATAGCTGGGACAGCAGGACAGACTGACCCACAGCTCTGAAGAGCAGGATAAAGATCAGGGTGCCCAGCACCAGCGCGGTGTCCCATGTCCACTTGGAAGTGTCCACAGCTGACATGCCCAGAAACATGAAGATGATGGTCTCTGAGCTGCTGGCCAGCGTCTTCATGGTGTACTTGACCGTGGTGCGGGATTTCTGGGAGATGTTGGCTTCCACATACTTCTTGCAGCAGATCCCGCAGAAGGTGACTCTGCAGAGGGGCAGAAGGAGCTGGCATGACCCTGGGGTGAGCACCCCTGATTTCCCAGGGCTCCCTGGTACTCACGCCAGGATGGCGGAGAGCGAGACCATCTCAGCAGCCAGGTAGGCAACATAGGCCAGGAGGAAGACGAAGAGCGGCTCGATGATGCGCACACGTTTGGTGAACCGTGTGATGAGAGCCAGCAGGAAGGCGAAGAGCAGCCCCACAGCCGTGCCCCCCAGACTCACCAGGAAGAAGGAGGCTGAGGGGAAGAGGTTGGGTTGCATCTTTGGTGAGACTTGCCAAGCCCCATGCTCCCACCTGACTCCCCACCAAGGCATCCAGTGATGATGGCTGAGATGGGCTTAGTGATTGCCCACGGCATGACAGCACCCATGCTCCTCCCCTGTTCACCATGCTACAGGAAGATCTGGTGGGGCACATACTCACCTACCCCCTTCATGTAGTCCGTGGCATGGATGTGCGCTGGGCCCAGCTCCACAAAAGAGTTGAAGACCTTGTACAGCACCTGCAGGCAACACAAGTCCTTTGGGAATGGCAGAGAAACTTCCTACCATGGGAGGGGCAGCACAGGTGGGCAGGATGGACCCAAGCATTCCCCCAAGGCCAGCACAGTGGAAGGACCCAGTGGCACGGGGTTGCCCCCAGTCTGGGGATGTCACCTGCACCCTCTACCCATTCTGGGGGATTCCAGTGCCTGGCCCACATTGGGCTCCACCTTCATAGGATCACAGACTGATTTGGATTGGAACGGACTCTTCTGGGTCATCCAGCCCAATCCCATAGCATGGGCAGGACACAATCAATAGAATTATTCAGGTTGGAAAAGATTACTAAGATAACCAAGTCCAACTCCAGCTCATCTCCACTATGCCCACTGCCCATCTCCACGGTTCTTGACCATCTCCAGGGATGGGGACTCCCCCACCTCCCAGGGCAGCCTCACCATTCCTTCTGAAAATAAATTTTTCCTAATATCCACTCTGAACCTCCCCTAGTGCAACTTAAGGCCGTTACCTCTCATCCATTTTTCACTACATAAAGTTGCCCAAAGCCACGTCAACCTGATGCTGAACACCTCCAGGGATGGGGCACCCATAGCTTCTCCAGACAACCTGCTGCAGTGCCTCACCACCCTCATTGTCATTAGGACTGCAGGGCCCCCCTGGCTCCAACTCACCACAGTGACAGCATCATTCAGGAGGGACTCGCCAAACACAATGATGAAGAGGGTCTCATTTACATGGACCTCTTCAAAAACTGCCAGCACTGCCACAGGGTCCACAGCCGAGATGAGGCTGCCGAAGAGCAGGAAATCCATCAGCCCAGCTTCCACGCCTGGATCTGCTGGGACAGAAGGATAGAGGTGAGGCGGGTCATTCTCCCCAGGTGAGGGACTGTGTAGCCTGTCCATCAGACCTCTGAGGTCTCCCTATGGTGACACGGGGTTTGGCACATGAGGGAAGAAGTGCTTGGACCAGGCACCAAGAGGTTCCTCCGGGCTCAGAGGAGCTCAAAAGAAAGCCCAGGCCAAGCAGGGCCAGCAGCTCCAGCCGAGGACAGGGAACACGGCAGCGAGCCAGCAGAGCTAGCCAAGGTCGGCGACAAAAATAGCAAAGACATGAGTCAGCCCGATGCCGAGAAGGTCCCCTTTGTCCTCCACACTTGCTGGTCCTGCCAGAACATCATTCCCAGCTCCTGAAAGCTATGGGATCCACTCCAGGGCTCTAAATTTGGGAGTGTTTTGCATCTTCCCACCCCTTTTGGTGATGTGGGCTCCCCCAGCACCCACCCATCAGCCCTGCCTGATGCAGGCCCCAGAGCGCAGTGCCGGTGGTGAAGGAGTTCCAGAGCGTGCCCACAACTGCATAGGTGAGGATGGCACCAATGTTGTCGAAGAACAAGCGGCTGGGCATGAAGTAGCCCGAGTCCAGGACGATGGGGGGTAGGAGGAAGAGGAAGAACATGTTGGGCTCCAGCTGGTATTTGGGTTTCTTGGCCACGGCCAACACGATGCCACCCAGGCCCAGCCCCAGCAGGATGAGGAGGCAGCTCTCCGGCACGACGGATGTCACCTTCCTGGACAGGTGGAACACTGAAGGGAAGGAAGAATGTGAGCATCAGCCAAATGGGCACCCTGGGTCCACCGACTGTATGTGAGCAGAACAACTCCCAGCTAGTTGGCTCACTTGGCTGCCCTTCTACCACCACAAAGCCCAGTCCCTAAAGCTCTTAATGAGGTGCTTGTGCCAATCACCCCACCAGGAAGAAGGCTGTGCTGTGGTCTGACATCAACCTCAGGACATTGGGCTCCTTCCCTCCCTGGGAACTCCATAGATGGACCGCAGCTCTACCCAGCCCAGGGTCTTTCCACTAATGGTGTAAACCTTGAGAGAAGCTCAGAAACTGGCTTCCGTGTCTCTACTGCACATGCCTGTCTGCTCTGAGCCTGTCCCAGATCAGCATTTCAGGGCCTCCACCTCCCAGACCACTGCCATATAAGCCAAGCAGTTGGGCATTTTGCTTTTTTAGCGCTGCAAGCAGTGCTGGCTGCTTTTCAAGTGAGGCATCCTGGTCACAGGAACACAGTATACCCCACACAGGGATGGAGACGCTCAGCCCTGGTGATGGGTGACCTTGTTTGCAGCTGTCTGAGCATGCAGGTGGAGCAGCATGCAAACACTGCAGCGCGTCGGCCAGAGTGCTGGCTGACCTACCTGCATGCAAACATCAAGTATGCGAGAGCTGCGGATGAAGGGATGCTTGCAAGAATCAGTTTATTCCAGCAAGCCATGAAAGAGGATCTATTTAATGGAGCAAGCTGATCACACCCTCATATTCATATATTAGCCCTGTGGCAAGGAGCCTGATGGCACAAGGCCACATCATGCCAGCCAGCAGTGGGGACATGCTCCCCGTGGCAGCCTTGTCCCCATGTAAACCCAAATCATTGCAGCCTCTTGGCAAAATCAGCAGGGCAACCCACAGATTCCTTTGTATTCCTCCTGCCTCCCACCACTGAGGTCCTGCAGTCATCACTGGTGACATCCCGGATCTGTGGCACAACTTGGCCATCAGGTGAAGGCATCGTAGGATCATTAAGAAAAGAGCTCTCAGATCCCCAACCCCAGCCCACCCCCACCGTGCCCACTGTCCACGTCCCTCAGTGCCACATCCCCACAGCTCTGGGACACCTCCAGGGATGGAGACTCCCCCACCTCCCTGGGAGCTGTGCCACCGCATCAATGCTCTTTGGGAGAGTAAATTATTCTTAATATCCAACCTGAACCTCATCTGGTGCAACTCAAAGCCATTATCAGGAACCAGCTGGCACCTCATCCTCAAGTAAAGGGACATCACAGCCTCCAGACCATCACTTGGCTGCCCTGCCACCACCCCAAACCTCAGTCCTGAATGTTCTGGGTGAGAGGAGCCTGTTGCTTGTGCCAGTCACCCCACCAGAAGGAAGGCTACACTGATCAAAGAAGTTCACAGCATCGATGGGAGAAGCCCTGGATGCACAGCCAGGGAATGCTGCTGGCTTTGTTGCTCTGCACAGTGCCGCCCTCACAGCAAATCCCAGCACACGAGCTGCTCTGCAGCAGGGACGGGTGGCAAGAGCTCTAATTTTACACCCGCTAGGCAAGAATTTCAGCATTAACGTTCCCACAGCAACAGTAACTCAGCCACATGTGAATTAACTTCAGAGGCATCATCTCTGCTCCAGACATCCCCAGCACGGGATGTACCATCGGGAGGACTTGAGGACAAACCCTGCTCCCCCCTCCCCATGGGGCTCGGGGTCAATCATGGAATCATTAAGGCTGGAAAAGAAAGCTAAGATCATCAAGTCCAACCACTGACCCATCAGCACCATGCCCACTAATTGTGCCCCAGCAGGATCGGAGACACCAAAACCAATCAGCGCTGGGAGCAGTGGGGTCAGGGTTGGATGCAAAGGGAGAAGGTTGGGACCCACAGTCCCCTCCCTGCAGTGTGGGTGAGGGGAGGCTGTGGGGCAATGCTCATCACTTCTCCTTTCCCTCTTCCCCACAGCAAACAGCAGGAAAGGCAGCAGAGCCTGGATAATGCCTCGCTATGCAGGAAGCCAACACTCAGCCCGGTTTCCTCCGCCTCAGGCATTTGCCTGCTGCTTGCTTGGGGCACCCCAGCACTGTGATGGTTTCCAAGAACAAGAGCCTACAGTTTCACTTCCCCATCATACAGCGCTGAGGACGCTTCCGCCCCTGCAGTCACAGGGCTGAGAGCTGGCAGCAGCATTTCTGCACCAGTCCGCGCCCAGCACCCAGCACCCAGCATGGCCACCCCCCCCTTGGAGACCCTCTGATCCTGTCCCCATCTCTTCCCATGCCCTTGGGCACCCTGGGCACAGCAGTGCCAGGGCTAGAAGCAGGGGTAGGATGCGTCCCCAGGCCATGGGAAGGCTGACTGCTGTCACATCACTGCCACCAAGCACCAAGCTGTGCCCACTGAGGTGGCACACGGTGGCTTCTCTCACCCCGCAACCAAACGTGGGGTGGGAAAGGGAATGCACCAAGGGAAACCCAAATAGATGAGCTGCCTGAGAATGAGGCATGGAGCCAGAGCTCCCGTCTCCATGCTGCACTCGGCAGCTGGAGGTGGCACAGCTGCAGGCAGAGGGCTCGATGCCTCAGCTCATGATTTATTCCTTGCAGAGGTTGAGCTGCAAGAAGGCCGAGGGAGGATGGAGCGTGAGGTGCACAGCCGTGGGCTGGGTGATGCTGGAGCAGGAGGAGGGCGGCTGACAGTGACAGCAACACCCTGCCCTGGGTGTTAATGCATCCCCACTCCCCCAGCAGCACTTTGAGGAGGACACCCTCTTCAAGGTCACTGTCACACCTCCTGGGTGCCCGCTTTGTGCCACGTGGCTCCGGTGTGACCCACCAGAGGTGACCACCCAGCGCCGCTCCCAACCCTGACAGCAGCACACGCACCCCTGCAGCTCACCCCATGGGCTGTCCCCTGTGTGCCCACCCTGGGGGGCCAACAACGTGTCTCCTGGGTGCCACCAGCCAGGCTCTGCTCTGTCACCGCTCATCACACCCTCATGGCGAAGAATGGTGCCCCTCTCCGTGGGCCACCGAGCGCCGTACCGTCACCTCCGGGGTGACGCCGGACCGCCCCTCACCCCGGTGTCAGCCCACCCCCCAGCTGTCACCGCTGCCCATCCCGTGGCCGCGTCACCCGCGGAGCCCCCCGTCCCGGCGGCACTCACCGATCTTGGCCAGGCTGGCCACCAGGATCCAGGCGGCCACCAGGCACGGCACCTGCACCTCCTGCCACTGCCACCGCAGCAGCTCGGCTCCCGCCGGAGGAACGGCGGCGGGGCCGGGGGAGGCCGGGGTGCCGCTGCCCGGGGGATGCATGGCCCCGCACCTCCGCCGCTCCGCAGCTCCGCCGGCCCCGCCGCGACGTCACCGGCAACGGCGGGGGCAGAGCCCGGCCCGCCCCGCAGCGCCCGCCCCGCCCCGGAGCTGCTCCATCCGCCCCGGTCCCCGGTTCTGCACAGGTCCCAGCGATGTCCAGGTGTCACCACCACCTGCCTCGGTGCCGCCCCCCGCAGCCTCCTCGATCCCCAGTGCTGCCCGATGCCACCCCCACCTGGCCTGATGCCATCCCCGCCCTCCCCGGTCTCCAGTCCTGCCGGGATGCCACCTTTATTGCCCCAGTCTCCCACACTGCCCCAGTGTCACTTCATCTGCCCTAGAACCCAATGTTGCCACGGTGTCACCTCTGCAATCCCACCTGCCCTGGTCCCAGCATCACCCCCATGTCACCTCCTGGTCCCCAGCACTGCCCCGCTCACCCCAAGCAGCACCTCCATGCCACCTCAGGCTCTGGTCCCTCTGCACGTGCCCCAAAGCCTCCCGCCCCTCAGTGGTCTCCTTGCACCTGCCTTGGTCCCTCCTTCACCACCCCGATGTCCCCTTCATCACCCTTGCTATCCCCTCCATCCCCCTGCTGTCCCCTCCATCATCTTCTGTGGCCCCATCACTTGCTGTCTCCTCCATCACCTGCTGTCTCCTCCATCCCTTGCTGTCCCCTCCATCCCCCTGCTGTTCCTCCATCACCTACTACCCCTTCATCATCTGCTGTACCTCCATCAAATACTTTCCCGTCATCACCCACTGTCCCTCCATCCCCCTGCTGTCCTCTCCATCCGCCTGCTGCACCATCGCCTGCTGTCAGGTGATCACCATCGCTATCCCTCCATCACTTGCTATCTCCACCATCACCTGCTGTCCCCCTGCTGTCACCCCCGAGGGACCACCCCTGCACACTCCACGCACGCAGGACACCCAGAGCATCCCCGTGCACCTGGAGCCCCTCAGTGCCTTCGGAGCATCCCTACGCTCCCTCGCCCCCCGCACCCCATCCCCTCCCCCCGCCCCCTTTTAACCTTTTGGAGCCTCCCGAGCAAAGCCCCGCTTACACCCGCGGAGGGCGCCCGAGCGCGGGGCGGTGCCGGCTCGGTGCCGGGGCGGTGCCGGGGGCTGTCCCGGTGCCACCCCCTGGAGCTCCGGTCGCTGTGCGGCGGCGGTGGCGGTGCCGCCATGGCGGAGACTACGGTCCCGTGCCGGGTGCAATACCTGGAAGACTCCGATCCTTTCGGTTGCGGCAGTTTTCCGGAGCCCCGACGTGCGCCTGTTTACGCCGTGGAGGAAGCTCTGGCCCTGGGAGCGCAGCTGCCCGCGGTGCACCGGCTGCTGGGAGCGCCGCTGCCGGTAAATGGGGGGGACGGGAGGAGGGGAGGGCGTGCTGAGCATCCCGGGCGTGGCTGTGGGGCTGGGGTCCCACGGGGCTGCGCGGTGCCCGGTTGCTGCTTGGGGATAGAGGAGCGGTGGAGGGCTCGGAAACCCGTACGGAGAGTGGGCACGGCCGTATCCACATCCCCACGTCGGAAGGACGTGGCCGTGTGGCTGTAGCCATGCGCTGCCATGGGGACACTGCTGCTGCCGCGGTGGCCGGAGCGTGGGCAGTGTCACCGCTTGTCCCCGAGAGCCTCGGTGTCTGCCTTCGTTCCGCCTGATGCCAACCCGCCCGGCGTCGCAGAGGAAGTGGCTTCGCCTTCTAGGGCCGGTTCCCATCCGACTGCAATGGCTTGGGGCTCTGTGTCGGCATCCCGCGGCACACTGCGATGGAGCGCCGTGAGCCCCCCAGCACGGCCCGACCGTGGGATTCAGCTGCCTGGCCGTGCACGGGGCTGCAGGGCTGCCCGCCCCTTGTCCCACTCAGCGTTTGCATGGGCTGGAAGGAAAGCCCCGCTGAAAATCGTGCACTGAGCAACTTCCTCCGGGAACTGGGGAGGAAGGAGGCACAGCACTGGAGGTCCGAAGCACTGCTGGCGTCCCAACCCAGGCTGGAGCCTCCTCTCCCCACTTCCCTCCTGCCTGGGGATCCCCTGTTGGAGTGCTGCCATCAGAGTGCTCTTTACAGTCCCCTCCTGATGGGAGGTGGGTGGGTTTTCTCCCCTTTCTCCCCTTTCTCCCACGGGCCTGGGACACTTCAGCCATGGCTGCGCATCTCCATGGCACCAGTGCGCAAAGCTGGGGGCGAGGCAATGGGAAGAGGGTTGCTGTGAGACCTTCTCCTGAGCCAAACGAGCTCCATTCGTCCCCACTTTCATTTTTTCATGAAGCAGAGCAGCAGCCTCTCATGGTGTCCCCGTCATGGGATTTTTGGCTGCTGACTAAACGCAGTTTGTTTGGGAACACGCAGCTCCAGACATGACGAATGGAGCAAACTCAAATTTCAGGCATGCGTCCTCCCCACCCCGGAGCTGTAATGGGATCACCGGCCCGGGGTGCCACCATGGGGACAGGGACACTGTGGGGCTGGAGCCAACCCCCCCTCCCCACGCAGTGCCCACGCTGCCAGGTGCCGCTCACAGCCCCATTACTCACCGTGCTATAATTAGGAAATGAACAGTCACTATTAATTTTTTCCCCTATAAACCTCAGCCCTGGATGCTGGGCTCGTCCCGCTTCGCTCGGCGGCATCCTCCCACCCTGGGTGCCCCACATCCCCCAGAATGGAGCCGCACAGGACTTACTCTCCCTGCCCACACGTGCACAGCCACACGGCCCCTCGCTTCCTCTCCGTGCAGCTGATGGCTTTTTCATGCTTTCCGGAAGGCGTTTGTGCCTGAAATACCTTCCCGGCCCGCTTTCCGCAGCCGCATTGTTCTGGTCCGGGATGATGCTATCACATCCGAGCTTCCAGCAAGTCATGCAGGGCCCCACTGAGTGATGCTCCCTCCGGGTGCAGGCTCGCTTTCAATCCCTGTGAGTGTTTTGCTGCAAAATCTGTGTTTTCTACAAAAGCACGTGACTGCTGCAGAGGAAATCCCATTGCAAACTGGGGCTGCCCACCTCAATTGCAGAGGGTGGTGGCGAGGCCATCTCCGTGCCACCACTGTCCCTGGATGTGTCTTTGCATGCCCTGCACCCTGCACCAGCACTGTCAATGTAGGGATTTTCCAAACAAAACTAAACTGGGAGCCCCCTCCTCTGGAAACCTGTGGAAGAGCAAAACCTGTGTTGGTGATGGGTTTGGGGCTCCCACTTGCCCAAAGTCCTTGCTTCTGATGGGGTTGGGGCTCCCTCGTGTCCAAAATCCTTGATTGTGGTGGGTTTGGGGTCATTGAGCAATGGGGAACTCAGGGCTGGATGGAGAGGGCGGCGTGTGAGCAAGTGTGCAGCTCTGGGCCGTGTGTGCTGTGTGCCCTCCACAGCCCTCCTGCCTTCGTTTCCTTTTTTTCCCTACAGTGGGCACTATCCCATCCATCTGCTACCATCCATCAGCAGGAAAGGGTACGGGGCAGCACCCGGTAATAAACACCTCTACCAGCCCAGTGTCCCAAAGTGGTTCCCGTTGCCCAGTCCTTGTGCCTCAGGGTGTGAGAAGAGGAGGGGGGAGAGGCTGCAGGCATGGTAGTGTGGGTTCCAGAAGTGAGCTGTGCTGGGTTGGCTTGCACAAGAGGTTTGTTGAGATTTGGGCTCGCAAAGGTGGCTGTCCCCATGGTGTAGGGTGCAGAGCAGTGCTGAGTTATGGATGCTATGAGCTACGAGCCTACTTCACACTGCATAGAATTCATCCTGACCTTTGTGTTGAACTGTGGCCTCGAGATTGAGCCTCGACTGCAGAACATAGCAGAGATAAATGAGTTTCAGTAAATCCCCCATCTCCTCCCCATAAGCCGTGCGGGGAGTCCCATGGCACTGCACTCTCTGGTTTGCAGTCTGGACGTTGCTCTGGCTCTGCCCCAGGAGCAACCTGCAGCTGAGTTTTAAGGCTCCTTTGGGTTTCTCCAAAAGTTTCTCTTCTTTGGGTTTCTTGGGTTTGGGTGCTGGGTCTCCATTGCCTCCATCCTGAGGAGGTGAGGATCGTCCCCACGTCACCAAAGTGTTTCTTTAAATATGCTGAAAGAGGTGCCTGGAGAGTTCCACAGCTCAGCAAAGTAGGGAAAGTGTGGTTGCCAAAAAAATAGAAAGTGTTGGAGATGGGGGAAGTGCTTCCGGCACTGGCAGATAAGAAGGATGCTGTGCAGGGCTGTGCCAAGATAAGGCACTCAGCTCGTTGTTACTTGAATGGTGGGGCTGGTTTGCATGTATCTGTCTGTCTTGGCTATGGAGACCTCCAGATGTGCTTGTGGGTCCATCATCTTACAGGTCAGTGGTATCTCCATTACTGTCCCATAGAGGCATCTCCATCAAAGCCCCCTGGAGGGAACTCCATCACTGTCCCACGGAGGCATTTTCATCACAGACCCATGGAGACATCTCCATTAAGTGGTTTGGAGAGGGCAGTCCTGCTCTGGGTGCATCCATGAGCCATCATTTGCTACGTGTATCCTCTCTGAGCGTTGAAGCTCATGGTGCTGTGTGTTCCCACCTGGCTGGAGCCATGCTCCTGCTCCTTGTCCCCTCAGGATAAGTCCCCAAAAGTCCCCAAAAGCAGTAGTCAGAGGGCACTGCATTGCTACAGGAGGTGTGAGTGTGGGATGATGCAGGGGATGGTTCCCTGGTGGTGCTCCCTGGGGCTTTCCCAGACTTTTGGAATGGTTGGGACTCACCTCCTGGCTCCTGGAGTGAATTGAGGCTGAAAGTGGGGTTTTGGTGATGATCCCCATGTCTCCTCCCTGGATGTTTTCCTCTCTTTCCCCTCCCTGGGTTCGCTGTGATCCCACACCACTCTATAACACTTTCCCATGCTGTTGTGCTGATGGGGACAACACTGTGACGCCACAGGACACAGCCACTGCCCCATAGCCTCACAGTGCTGTCCCCATCAGCACAACTCAATCTTGCCCAAGGAGCAACAATGCCCAGCATGGCAATGCCACTGTGCCACGTTGTGTCCCTTGTCCCTTTCCTCAGGGGATGACATTGGCCATGGTAGGCACATCCCATGCACTGGAACATCCCTCGTAGGGAGCACAGCCAGGCTCACACAGCGGGGTCGTGTCACCATCCCTGACAGCAGCCAGCTGTTATCCCCAGCTCACAGCAGGGGCCATTTCTTCCCTCGAGCTGCATGGGAGCCGTGTCTTGGTGCATCCTGGAAAGATGCATGGGCAGGAGTGGAAACATTCCCCCAGCCCTCGGCAGTGTCTGGTGCATGTAGCCATGGCTGGGGGCAGCAAGAAGTGAGGTGAGATGCTGACAGCACGGTGATGGAGTCCAGCCCAGCAGCAGTGCCCTGCCAAATTGCTGCTTATCTATAGGCTGAGTCAGACGGCGAGGCGTCACTCCATGCACACAGCATGGTTTGGGCTCGTTTCTTTTTGCCCTCTGGGTTTGGTGATGATGTTACGCATGCAGAGTCTTGCTTGGGACACCGAGCGCAGGGAGATGCAGGGGATGGATCTCTGTGGTGCTGCATGGGGCTGCCCTGGGGCTTTCCCAGACTTTTGGAATGGTGGGGACTCACCTCCTGGCCCCTGGAGTGAATTGGGGCTGAAAGTGGGGTTTTGGTGATGATCCCCATGTCTCCTCCCTGGATGCATCATGCGCTGTGTTTGGAGTTTTTTGGGGGGGTTAGTAAAAGTAAAAGTTTATCCCTGCTGCAGGGAGAGACGTGGGAAGGCACACGTGGATGCTGTAGGATGGGAGCGGATGCTGTAGGATCTGGGGTGGCTGCTGTAGCACCAGGGCTGCCTTTGGCCCTTCCCCTCCCACCACGTGGCTGGGTGTGGACCTGGGGCTGAGTCATGGGGCTGAGTCAGTGCAGCCCGCACACTGGGACACTGGTGTGGGGCTCACCATGCACAGGGATCCTGCCCTGATGGGGACAGACATTGCCACCGGGCTGAGTCTCACCAAGGGACAGTTGATGGCCTGGGGCCACCAAGGCATGGGGCTGCCAAGGCGTGGACCACCAAGGCAAGGGGCCGACAAACTGTGGAGCATACGAAGCATGGGACCAACAAAGCATGGACCTGCCAATGCATGGACTGCCAAGGCATGGGGCCACTAAAGCTTGGGATCACCAAGGCTTGGGTTTACCAAGGCGTGGGGCCAACAAAGCATGGGGCTACCAAGGAATGGGACAACCAAGGAATGAGACAATCAATGCATGGGGCCACCAAGGCCTTGGGCTACCAAAGCATGGGGCCACCAAGGCATGGGGCCACCAAGGCATGGGTCGGCCTTGCTGTGTGTTTCCCTGGTATGTGGCTCCCCATTTCTCCAGCAGCTCAGTGCTGGTCCCTGTGCAGGGGTAGAGTTCCTGAAGGAGACATGGTGGCATCTGTGATCCAGTGCGAGCGGCCTGGGGAAATGGGTTGATGGTAGGGGAGGGTGGAGCTGCCTCCTCCATCAGCCAGGAGGGACACTGCTGCCACCCACTGCTGGGGAACTGGGGTGGGCAGGTAGCCCCCATCTCACCCAGCTGTGTGTCCCCAGCTGGAGGACTGCACGCTGCAGGTTTCCCCATCCGGCCACTACTTGGACCTGGAGCTGTCCCTGCTGGAGCAGAAGGATGACCTGGATGCTTTCTACGAGGAGGTCAGGTGAGGCACGCGGGGGGCACTGAGCACATGGGGGTGGTGCCCCTGTGCCAGCACTCAGCCCGTATCCCTTTGCCCTAGGAAGGGCCGGCGGCCAACGCTGATCCTGCGCACGCAGCTCTCCGTCCGTGTCCATGCCATCATTGGTGAGCTGGGGGGGGGTCTGCTCACCCCTGGGGCCGGGAATCCATCGCACACTGCGGGGATTTGGGGTCAACCGAGCGAGTTCTAAATATAGCCCTGGCCAATGCAAACAAATGGCTCACGTGAGGACGAGCGCTCGGATGCACTGAGGCTTCCCATCTGGAGCGAAGGGAAAAGCCAGCAGTGCTGGGAAGGAAAGGACCGGCAATGGGGTCAGGGTCGCGCTCCCCACGCGCGGTTCCCAGGCTCTGGAATGCTCCATCCCAGCAGCTCCGGGAAGGTTTGGCAGAGCACTGGTTGGCCTGGCCGAAATACGTAGGAAAACAGTAAAAAATAGACAAATGGGTTTGGCCGGCTGCGTGCCTCTTTTGAAGGCTGCCAGCCGTGGGATGGGGACGAAGGGCAGATGGGGTTCCTGTGGGTAGCTCAGCCCCGGGGCTGTGCCTCCTGCCCGGGTTCCTGTTTCGGTTCAGCGCAGGAAACCAGAGGGGATATTTGTGTCATCGCCGGGCAGCAAAAATAGAAAGAAAAGAAAATAGGAAAGTGGCAACACTGGAAGAAATGGTGGTGGTGGAGCTGCTGCTGCTCCCGCCCCGATGTGTGTCCCACATCCCATCACTGTGCCGTGTCCCCATGTGCCACTGCGCCCAGCAGCCCGTTCTCGTGCCTTTGCTTGCAGAGAAGCTGTACAACTCGCAGGGCCCGGAGCTGCGGCGCTCCCTCTTCTCCCTCAAGCAGCTCTTCCAGGTAGGTGGCTCCATGTCCCCACCCTGGAGGTGCCCACATCCCCAGCACCTGCGTGGGGACATCACTCTGGGCTTTGCTCACAGGAAGACAAGGACCTGGTGCCAGAGTTTGTGAACCTGGATGGGCTGACGTGCCTGATCAACGTGGGGGCAGAGGCGGACCAGAACTACCAGAACTACATCCTCCGTGGTGGGTTCTTGGTGTGTCCCCCCCGCTCAGTGGCACTGCTGATGGAGCGTGTCTGATGCCACCACCCCTGCCTTGCAGCCTTAAGCCAGATCATGCTCTTCGTGGATGGGATGCAGGGTGTCATCAACCACAATGAGACCATCCAGTGGCTGTACACGTTGTCGGGAAGCCCGGTAAGCTGCCGTCACACCTGACTGTGACTGTCCCCATGTGCTGTCTGTCCCTTGGGGGTCCACACTGTGCCCTGCCTTCAGGACGGGCTCAGTGCCTTGGGCTCTATGGGTGCTGCTCTTCAACGTCATCAAGAGTACCCATGGCCCCTTTATGTGATCTGGGCACAGAGGTGGAATGTAAGAGAGGGCCCCACTTTGGGTGCCAGCACCCATTGGCCACCAGGATCCCAGCTGTAGGACCCTGAGCCCACAGCACCCTTCACCAAAGCCACCAGTGGAAGCCAAGCCCTGGAGAGTGGGTGCAGCCCTCTGTACTACCAGCACCCTGCCGCAGCCACTGTCCTTTGTCCCAGTTTCGCCTGGTGGTGAAGATGGCCCTGAAGCTGCTGCTGGTCTTCGTGGAGTACACAGAGCCCAATGCCCTGCTCCTCATCCGCGCTGTCAATGCTGTGGATCAGGCAAGAGGTGGGTGCAGCCTCATCCCCCAGCCAAGGATCTCATCTTGGGGGTGGTTGGATGCAGACGACGTGGGTTGTCCATGCCCCATGCCAGCCACAGAGTGTGATGGCTATGGCATGTGCCAACCATGGCCAATGGGAGACCACCAAGAGCCCTCCAGTGGGGATGAGGACGGAGTGAGGTGCTCAGGATGCGGCGCTCCGTATCCCAAACCCGCAGTGCCTTGGTGCTACCAACATGTGTTGCTCATCCCAGGTGCATGCCCATGGTCCAACCTGATGGCCATCCTTGAGCAGCGCAATGGGGCTGACACGGAGCTGCTGGTGTTCGCCATGACATTGATCAACAAGGTGAGCACCAGGGCTGTGCCACAGGACCACCTCCTCCCCATGTCCCCGGTCCCAGCCCTGTTCCCTTTGCCACCACCCAGACGCTGGCTGCCCTCCCAGACCAAGACTCGTTCTACGACGTGACGGACTGCCTGGAGCAGCAGGGCATGGAGAGGGTCGTGCAGCAATATTTAAGCAGCAAGGGCACTGACCTCGACCTGAAGCAGCAATTTGTCCTCTATGAAGTGAGTGGGGCACCCAGGGTGATGGCAGTGTGATGCATCCCCGGGGCTCAGAGCACGTCCCCATCCCACTACAGAGCGCACTGCGGCTGGAGGATGGCGTGGAGGAGCCACCAGCAGGCGGGCGCAAGGAGCGCAGGAAGACAGACGAGGGGCGGCGTGGGTGGAGGGCACAGGGGGGCTGTGCTGAGCTCAACCCTCTGCAGAGCCCAGAGAGACCCGGATCCCCACCAAATGAGACCCCCAGCACTCCAAAGGAGCCCCCTATTGAGGACAGCCCCGAGCTGAGCATCCCAGTGGAGTAAGTGTGGGATGCGGGGATGCTGCAGTGTGACATTGGGAAGTCCTCCATGGCACCGTTCTCTGCATCTCCTCTTTCTCCAGGCCCTGCCCCAAGAGTGTCTTCAGCAGCGCGTCCAGCCTGCGGCTCAGCCTGCCCAGCCCCCCAGCTGAGAAGGAGCCCCCCAGCATGGGGGAGAGGAGCATCTACAAGTAAGGGATGGTGCCCTGGGGGTCCCACCACCACATCCCCTCTTTCCCCCGGGCGCGCTGGGGCTGGTGAGGTTCACAGGACAGGAGAGGGCAGTGTGAGATGATTCAAGTGCAGGGGCTTCACAGCATCCTTAGCCCCTCTGGGGTGCGCACACTTCTGCTCCAGCTCCATCTCTTCCCCTCACTCCTCCTCTCTGCCCGCGCTGATTCTCTCCTCTGCCCACTCTTTCTATCTTTTCCTTTTGCAGGCTGCACCAACCTGCTGCTGTCTGGTAAGTGCCCGAGCTCTGCGTGACACCTGCTTGCTGTCCCCGGCCCTTCATTTCCTCTGCTTGTACCCTGTCTGGGTGGCCAGGATCCCCATACCACATCTGTCCCACTTGGGGTGACAGAACTCTCCAAGTCCTCATGGGGCTCCCATGCCATCTCCAGCCTGCAGCATCCTGGTGGCAGGTCGGGTGGCTCTGGTGACAGGAACAGTTCTCTCAACATCACCAACACCATGCAAGAGTAGTTCTTGCTGGGGGTCCCCATGGCATGCCATCGGGAGGGGGTGGGGGGCAAGAGATCTCCATTAGCGGGGGCTAACCCCTGTTTTCCCTCAGGCGGGAGGATGCCCCCTCCTTGCATGGGGACAAACCTATTCTGAAGAGGTTTGAGTAAGTAGAGGCATGCGTGTGTCTCCAGGCATGCGCTTCCTCAGGCTAGATGCTTCCAGCTGCGCAGGGCAGGAGGAGCAGGAGGGTCCCACGAGTTCCAGCTCCAACACTCGGTGCCCTCCTGGGAGCTTGGTCTTGCTGCTTGTTGTGGTGGATATCAGCTTGGGACCAAGTGGCAGAGGTGGTGGAGGGAGGTGGTGGAGTCTCCAACCTTGGAGATGTTCAGAAGCTGCCTGGACATGGTGTTGGGCACAGCTCAGGGTGGCCCTGCTGGAGCAGGGTGGCACCAGGTGACCTGCAGAGGTCCATGCTGGCCTCAGCAATTCTGTCCCTATTCTTTCCCTGTCTCCCACTGGGCCATTACATCCTTGTCTTGCTATTCCCAAGCCATGGTGGCCTTACCCATCTCTCTGAAGTGCTTGGAGGTGGCTGGGACCATGGGTGGATCCTGTTGCGATGTGGCTCATGCCAAAGATTTTATTGTGGGATTGACCCCATGCAGGGCTCGTTGTGTGGTGCTGTATGGTGTGGTTTGTCCATCCCCATCCTCACCATGCTCCCAGACAATAGCTGTCCCTATCTCACAGAGCTCGCTTCTTGGAGAACCTGGCTGCTGCCCAGAAGGAGAAGATGTCTGCCATGGCCAAGGGACGGATTGACATCCTCAGTGATGTTGCACCACTGGAGCATCCCATCGCTTGGGATGGGGACAGCAGCAACCCTGATTCTGGCACAGAACCACCCCGCATGAGTACGTGCAGGGCTGGGTTGGGAGTATGTCCCTACCAGGAGACCCATGTGGGCATTAGGAGCCCCTCTGGCCCCAGCCCACACCGTGGTACTGGGTGCCGTGGTGGTATTGGTGCCATTGAACAGCTTAGGTTGGAGAAGATCTTCAAAGATCATCCTATTCCAATGCCTGCTGTGGGCTGGGTGTCCCCCACCAGGTTAGGCTGCTCAGGATCCCATCCTGCCTGGCCTTGAATGCTTCCAGGAATGGGGTGTCCACAACTTCTCTTGGCAACCTTCTCTGGCCATCCTGTACCCATGCATCTTCCCACAAGGAATGGGCTCCAAGCCCTGCATGCAGCCCAGCAGCACCTTCTCCAACAGGTGGGCTCTATCTCTCCACAGGGTCCCACGTCTCCGACTCCTGCAGCACCATCTCCTCTGATACCAAATTCATGCTGGACATGCTCTATGCCAAGGGATCCTCGGAGCCAGGGAGGCAGAAAGTCTTCCCCGAGGAGCCATCATTGTCCCCACACCAAGGAGAGGTGGAGACGGACGCAGGGTCTTCTATCTGTGCCGAGGGACCTGGTGGTCAGGAACAAGAAAGTGCCTGGCCCCACGGCAGGGCTCCAGATGGGCTGGTGGCTAGTGCCCACGCCAAGCTGGCACGTGCTGCATCCAGCATCGACGCCGAGAGCCACACGCAGAAGCTGGAGAACTCCGTCACGATGCCCGTCAAGAACGACGTGGAGTTGTCATGGGAGCGCCTGGAGGCTGGCCCCGTGCAACTGAAAATCAAGGACTTGGACTTCACTGACCTGGGGGAGGAGGAGGACTTGGACGTCTTGGACTCAAGGCCCGTTGCCAATGGCTCTTTCCTTCCTGCCAGCATCGAGGCGACGAGTGCTGGAGTTGTCATGGCTCCCCCTCCTCCTCCCCCAATGGTCCCTGGTTGCCCACCACCTCCACCTCCACCACCCATGGCTCCTGGTTGCCCACCACCTCCACCTCCACCACCCATGGTCCCTGGCTGCCCACCTCCCCCAGGTTTCTCAGGCCCCTCAGCCACTGATGGTCCTTCCCAAGCCAAGAAGAAGAGGACAGTGAAGCTCTTCTGGAAGGAGCTGAAGCAGCTGGATGGCACTGTGGGGTCAGGAAGGTTTGGGCAGGCAACACTGTGGGCATCCTTGCAAAACGTTGAGGTCAACACTGCCAAACTGGAGCATCTCTTCGAGTCCCGTGCAAAAGAGATGCCAGCTTCCAAGGTACCAGCAGGCCAGAGCTTTTGGGGGTGTTGAGGTCTCAAGGCAATGCCACTCCATGCTGTGATGAGGATGGGTAGCTAGAGCCTTGAGAGTCGGTGGGGAGGATGGGGTGGGGGGTGATGATGATCAACACATGGGTGTGGTTCACCCCCACATCCCATGGTGTTTCACAAAGGTGAGCCCTCTGCCTGGCTGCCAGCCTGCTCCCTGTCCTCTTTTCAGAAAGTTACTGATGGAAAGAAAGTGGTGGTGGTGCTGGATCCCAAGAGGAGCAATGCCATTAACATTGGCCTCACAGTGCTGCCGCCTGTGCACATCATCAAGACAGCCGTGCTCAACTTTGATGAGTTTGCAGTCAATAAGGAAGGGATTGAGGTGAGCACTGGAGAATCTGGGCCCACCAGGGTCCCTGTGTGGGTCATTTCCCCTGGTCAGGAGGTCTGTGTGCCATGGTGCCCATGCTGTAGGTGTCCCTGATGTGACATGTCCCATCTCCCGCCATCCTGGAGGAGCAGTGACATTGCTGGTATCTGATGTATCCCTCTGCCTGCCTTAGAAAATCCTGACCATGGTCCCGACCGAGGAGGAGAAGCAGAAGATCCAGGAAGCCCAGCTGGCCAATCCTGATGTGCCCTTGGGCTCTGCGGAGCAGTTCCTACTTTCATTGTCCTCCATCAGCGACCTGACGGCCAGGCTCCAGCTCTGGGCCTTCAAGCTGGACTATGAGAGCCTGGAGCAGGTATGGGGCCACATCCTCCATCTTCCCCTCAGTGCTGTCCTTGGGATGAACCATGGGGGGAAGTGGCCACATCCAAACATTGGGCTGCAGGGCCCCAGTGCAAGCATGGGGTGCCTGTGCCCATGGTTGAGGACAAATGCTCCTGGTTGAACATTCCCCCAAGGGAGGTGACTTCCAAGGGATCTTACCTGCACCTGTCCCCATCCAGGAAATTGCAGAGCCGCTGTTTGATCTGAAAGTGGGCATGGAGCAGCTGGCCAAAAATCACACCTTCAAGTGCATCCTGGCCACGCTGTTGGCCATGGGCAACTTCCTGAATGGCTCCCAGGTGAGGAATGGGGTGCTGGGGGATGCAGCTTGGGTGCTGCAATGACAAGACCAACCATGGTACATGCGTGCCCAAGGCCACAAGAATCTCGGGAGGTGGTGTGGGTGCTGGTGATGGTCTTCTTGGTCAATGGGAAGGTGGCAAGATGGAGAGGCCCCACTGAGCATTGGGTTTCAGAGCAGAGGCTTTGAGCTGGGCTATCTGGAGAAGGTGTCGGAGGTGAAGGACACGGTGCACCGGCAGTCCCTGCTCCACCACCTCTGCCAGATGGTGGTGGAGAAGTTCCCAGAAACCACAGACCTCTACTCAGAGATCGCCTCCATCACCCGCTCTGCCAAGGTGAGACCAGGCCCTGGCCCTACACCTTCACCTCACCACCACCAGCACCAATGGACAATACCTTCCCCTCCCCTAGGTTGACTTTGACGAGTTGGCCAACAGCCTGGTGCAGCTGGAGCGGCGCTGCCGGGCCTCCTGGGACAACCTGAAGGTGATCGCCAAGCACGAGGCCAAGCCAGTGCTGAAGAGCAAGCTGACCGACTTCCTCAAAGACAGCACCCAACGCATCGTCGTCTTGAAGGTGGTGCACCGGCGTGTCCTCAACAGGTGGGTCCCAACCCCGCTGCGTCACCGGCCCCGAAGTCAACCTGCGGTGGGATGGCCATGCCTTGATGGGTGTCCTCTTCAGGTTCCACTCCTTCCTGCTCTACCTGGGGTACCCGGCGAGCGTTGTGAGGGATGTGAAGGTGATGCCCATCTGCAAGCTGCTGCGGGAGTTTGCCCTGGAGTACCGCACATGCCGGGAGCGCGTCCTGCAGCAGCAGAAGAAGCGTGCGGCCCACCGTGAGCGCAACAAGACGCGTGGCCGGCTCATCACAGAGGTATGGGGCTGACCATCCCACTGTGCCCTGTGCTGATAGAGTGAGAGGGAGTGGCCTCACGTTGTGCCAAGGGGTGTTCAGATGGGATGTTAGGAACAATTCCTTCTCTAACAGAAGGGTGAGGCAGTGGCACAGCTGCCCAAGAGGTGGGGGAGTCACCACAGCGTCCCAGAGCTGTGGGGATGTGGCACTGAGGGATGTGGGCAGTGGGCATGGTGGAGGTGGGCTGGGGTTGGGCTTGGGGGTCTGAGAGGTCTTTTCCAAGCTTAATGATTAGTGATTCAGCTTGGAAAACAAATGGCATCTTGGGCTCCATCAGAAGAGGGGTGGCAAGCAGGGACAGGGAGGTGATCATCCCCCTCTACTCTGCTCTTGTGAGGCCCCATCTGGAGTACTGTGTCCAGGTCTGGAACCCCCAGTACAAGACTGAGAGCTGTTGGAGAGGTTCCAGAGGAGAGCCACGAAGATGATCAGGGGACTGGAGCACCTCCATTACAAAGACAGGCTGAGGGAGCTGGGCTTGTTCAGCCTGGAGAAGAGAAAGCTGTGGGGTGACCTCATTGCAGCCTTCCAGTACCTAAAGGGAGCCTATAAACAGGAGGGAGTCAACTCTTTGCAAGGGCAGATAACAGCAGGACAAGGGGAAATGGTTTTAAATTGAAGGAGCGAGGATTTAGGTTGGATGTCAGGGGGAAGTTCTTCACAGAGAGAGTGGTGAGGAGCTGGAACAGCTGCCCAGAGAGGCTGTGGATGCCCCGTCCATCCCTGGAGGTGTTCAAGGCCAGGTTGGATGGGGCCCTGGGCAGCCGGGGCTGGTGTGAAATGTGGAGGTTGGTGGCCCTGCCTGTGGCAGGGTGAGGGTTGGAGCGTCATGATCCTTGAGGTCCCTTCCAACCCGGGCTATTCTGTGATTCTACAATCCTATGATTCTGTGAGCGGTCATGGTGGTGATGGGTTGATGGTTGGACTTGATCTTGGCCTTCCAACCTTAATGATTGCGTGATTCTGAGCTGTGTCCCCAATGCCTGCCTCTTGTCCTGCTGCAGACCGAGAAGTTCTCTGGCATCACCGAGGCATCACCACCTGCCGTGGTGTCAACCAGTCCCGCACAGCAGGAGCAGGCAGAGGTGGGCCACGAGAGCATGAAGAGCATCCTGAGCTCGCCCACGGATGTCCCTGCCCGCCGCAGTCGGGGTGGCCGCGGTAGGAGCACATCGGAGATGGGGTGGCCGAGTGGGGTGGCCCCAAGGAGCACCCGGTTGATGTCAGCATCCTCATGTTCCCATGCAGTGACGGGGCTTGCCACCCCCAGCCAGGGCTCCCCAGCCCAGGAGGATGTCCCCAGCTCACCCGACGACGCCTCGGATGAGATCATGGACCGCCTGGTGAAGTCGGTGACACACAATGCCAACCCCCGTCCCTGCCCCAGCCGGGAGCGCAGGAGGTCCCGTGGTAACAGGAAGTCCTGTGAGTCCCCAGTGCCACTGTCCCCACACCCTGTGCCCCTGTGTCCCAGCCACTGTGCCCTATCCACATCCTCTGTCTTAGCTCATCCCTGTGTCCCTGTTTAGATGTTCTTTGCAGTCTCAGCATCCCTGTCCCCATTCTGTGTCCTTGTTCCCACACCTGTTCCGTCTCTTTATTACCCTGCCCCATCCCTTTACTTCATCCCATGTCCCATCGCTGTGCCCATTCTCTGCCCCTCTGATCTTTCCCATCTCTGGATCTCTGTTCAGATGCTCTTTCCCACCTTTTGTATCCCAGTCCCAATTCGGTGTCCTTGTCCCCACGCCACCCTACACCCCTGTCCCAAAGCCACCCCATGCCTTGCCTCCTTTCCCTGACCCCTCCAGACCCCTAACCCTGGCACCCACCCATGCCACCAGGACTCCTTATACCCACACCAGGGCCACAAAGCCCAGTGCACAGTGACCCAGCAGCCACTCTCCTGTCCCCACAGTGCGACGGACACTGAAGAGCGGGCTGAGCGATGAGCTGGTGCAGGCGCTGGGCTTGGGACAGGCACCGGGCATGGAGGTGTGATGTGACCACCTGCATCCCATGGGGAAGGACACGGGGACGCTTGGCACGCTCCGCACCTTTGGTCTCACCTTCAGCTCCAGAGCACGATGGGAGCAATGCTCCAGAGCTGCTCTGTGGGGTCAGGATGGAGGATGGAGGAGCACATGCTGCAGTGGGAGTCGGAGCAGTATTGAGGGGAGAGGGGCTGGACCCGGACCCCTGCTGGGAGCTGGGTCTGGCTGCTGTGACAATAAAGTGATGTGACGTGTGCTTCTGGCGGTGTCCTTTGTCCCCATTCCTGGGGCATGGGGTGATGGTTCCTGCAGCATCCCTGGGCAGCCCGCTGTCCCCATGGAGCAGGGTACCAGGGTGGCACAGCACTCCTGCATCCTTCTGCCCCACCTCCATCCCCGTGGCTCATGGCTCAGGGACAGCCTGATGTCTCCATACCACGATGCAAAGCTACCCCCTCCCCCCCAGCAAGAGTTATGTCCACACTGAAGGCCTCCGCTGCCCTCTCTCTGTGTTTTCATTCCAGATGTTTTTTTGGCTCTGCAGCCTTGGGGATATTTCCAGGCCTCCCTGGCATGCGCTGCCCTTGAGAGGCGCCTGAAGTGCTTGGCTTGGCCGTGGCACGCACAGATTGTGCCAAAAACACCAGCCGGGTGGTGGGGGTGCTGGGGACGCAGGTACACCTGGGTGCCACCAGCAGTGCCACGTGGGGTGCTCCAGTTCACATCCCCATCTGCATAGGGCGCAACCGGCGGCACCTCCAGCCCCTCTCCTCGTCCCCAAGCTCTGTGCCACCCGCTGTCCCCGTGTCGTGCTGCCACGAGGGGGCACGGCGGCCACGTGCATGGCACTGAGCAGGGATGTGTCCCCATACATCCCGTGGCTCCTCACCTCTTGAGCAAGGCCGGGTGGTGATACGCTCGGCACGGCGGCTGCACGGAGGTGGAGGACAGGAAATGGGTCACCGTGTCGTGACCTGCTGTCCCAGTGCTGGGGTGGAGGAGGCAGTGTGTCACTGGGGCAGGGAGGAAGGCAGGTTTGCTCTGTCAGCCTAATAGCGAGGTCCCGTGGATGCCATGGAGAAGGGAGGTGGGAGGTGACGATGGATTGATGGGATGGAGAAAAGGGCTCAGCCCTGAGATGAGCCCAGATAGGGATGGGGATGCTGAGCAGGACATGCAAAGCGGCTTCTCCCCCTCTGTTGGCTGGGATGGGGTGCAGGGACTCGGTACCCCTCCCTGAGCATCACCAATGCTTTGCAAGCCACAGAAAAGGGCCCCCAGCTCTTGGCAGTGCATTTGGGGTGCTCAGTCCTGCTGACCCGGAACACTGTCGTGTGGGAAGCCCAGCAGGAGAGGAGAGATGGGAGTGGGAACACGCGAGCTTCAACTGGGAAGCAGCTTTCCAGAAGGTGAAACCTCTCCCATAGCCGTGAGTCCAGCTGGAAGTGGAGATGTGTTCTGTAAATGGCTGCACGACCTGACCTCACAGGTCAGAGCCTGGGATTTTCTGATGAGGAGGGGAACCCTGGCCGTGGATATCACTGGGCATCCTTCCCCTTGGGTGGGGATGGACGTGGAGGTGTTCCCTGGGGAGGGACTGGCAAAAGGAGAGGATGTCCTAGGCAGGATGAAGCACCTGTGGGAGCAGTGCTGGGTGAATCACATCCCTCCCAGCCCCAAGCCCCTGCAAACGGCCCGAAAACAATGCAATGAATCTTCCAGAGATGAGATTAGGGAGGGGAACAATTATCTCCAAACCTGTTCGTCATGGGAGGCTCCACCGAGCTGTAGGAACAGCCTAGGGCAAGGGGAGCAGGAGGAAGACAGATCCCCCATAGGGACCGTGCTGAGTTCGGGTGTGACCCACCCAGCCCCACTTCCAACCAGCAGAGGTGAGCCACAATTAGCGAAATGGGCATGGAGGGCGTCAAGTAGGTCAAAAGGTAATGAGGATCTCAGCAGCATTTCCTAACAGCCAGGGGTTGAGCAACGGGGAGATGAACAAGGGCAGGCATTGTCTGCAAAGGAGCAGCCAGCGAGGGCACCCGCAGTGAGAGAGATGGCATGGAGGGGGGAGGAGATGCTGGGAGGGTGGGTGGACAGGTGGGTGGAAAGACAGGTGGGTGGATGGATGGACAAATGGATGAACGGACAGATGGACAGGGAGGCAGACAGATAAATGGATGGATAGATGGACGGATGGATGGACAGATGGATGGATGGACGGACAAAGGGTGAATGTTTGAATGGATGGACAGGCAGACATGGATGGACGGGCAAATGGATGGATGGATGAATGGACAGACAGATGGACAGCTGGTTGGATGGATGGACAGACAGATGGGTGGAGTCAGAGCAGGTAGACTTGGTGATGCTCAGCTAACGGTGATGAGCACAAGTGCTGCCTTGTGGGTAAATCATCAAATTACAGAATGGCTTGGGTTGGAAGGGACCTTCCAGATGGTTGGGTAACCCCTCCTCCTACAGCTTCAGATCTGCATGAACTTAGGACACTAATTGGCATCCAAGCAGGAGAGCCTCCAAGCAACCTGGGGTGCTGAAAGCAGCTGAAGACCTCAAATCGTGCCATATTTCTCATAAAGAGCCATCTCTGATCTAGCCAAATGAGGGGGAACTGGTGAAAAATTACTATTCTGCCTTTGGAAAACTAACTTTCTTTAGTGAGGTGCTTCCAAGCCTAGTGAAATTGAGGTTCCTACGCACCCTGCCTTGAAGTTTGCTGCTGGGAAGGACCCTGAGGACCCCACAAACCACATCCCAAGATGGGAGATGCATTGGGCACATCCCTCCTCCTCTACCTGGCCAGCATTCCCTGCATTCCCCGGCCGGGAAGAGCCGGGCTGCAAACCCAACCGGGTCCCACCACCACCACCACACCCCGGAAAAACCACCCCAGCCTGTTTGTTGGCCACTGCCCTCCCGCCGAGCCTCCTGTAGCTGATGAAATCTGTTTTTTCCAATGGGACCAAGGGGGTTGCATCCATACCACGCATGGTTCTGTGGCGAAGGACGGCGCGGGCATCCTCCATCCGACAGCAAAGCTTTTGGGAGCAGAGCCTGGCAGATGCAGCAGCGATGCTCCGTCGCGGGGTCACTGAACACGGAGGGCTGGTGGAATATTAAAGCCTGGCAGAGCAATCGAGCCGAGTCATAAAGGTGGGAAGGGGAGGACTTTGCCCCAGCACCTGCTGCTCGTGGCACACACCTCTGGAGCAGTGCTGGGTGCATTGACCACGGCAGGGAGCAAACGCAGAAGCGGGTTGGGGGATGGTTTGGGATCACCGTGGTCCCAAACCCTGTAGGGCCTGGATGTGGTTCACACCTCACCTACCTGCTTGGGGTCCGGTCCCATGGGGTGGCTCTGGTGGCACCACACATCCGTGTGCCTGCAGGAGGGGATGGAGACCCCCAGCCTGGCCATGGGGGCTGTGGGGCTGTGCCCGGTGGCATCCCTCTTTAGGGTGTTCAGCCTGGGAACTGAGCCCCGGGGTGGGCACAGTGGCATCGGTGCCATGGGCACTGAGCTGGGCTGAACCCAACCGAACCGAACCGCGCCATGCTGAGCTGAACCGAGCCAGCTTGAACGGAACCAAACGGAACCGAACTGAACCGAACTGACCAAACGGAGCAGAACCGAACCGAACCGTGCTGAAGCGAGCTGGAGTGCATTGAACCGAACTGACCCGTGCCGAGCTGAGCTGAGCCGAGCCCCGTGCGGTGCCGAACCGAGCCGAGCCGCTCCTATCCCCGCCGAACCCAACTGTGCCAAACTGAGCAGAACCGAACCGAGCCGTGCCGAGCCCGCTCCTCCCTCCCCGCCCCTCCCTCCGCTCCCCCCATTGGCCACCCCCCGCCCCTCCCTCCCCTCTCCTCCCGCCTCCCCCCGCTATAAGCTCCCCGCGGTGGCACCACGCGGCCGGTGCGGCGGGGCCGGGCCGGCGCTGAACGTCCCATCCCATCCCTTCCCATCGCATCACATGGAGCGAGCGGAGCGGTGGGCGTACGGAGCGCTGTGGGCGGCGCTGGGGGGCGGCTTAGCGCTGCGGGCGGCGCGGGGAGACGTGGTGCTGGGCCGGGCGCTGGCCGTGCCGCTGGTTTTGCTGGCCGCCGTGCAGAGCCTGTGCCGAGCCTGCCTGCCGCTGCCCCTCGGGCTCGCCCTGGCCGCGGCGTCCGCCTGCCTGCTGCTCCGCTGGGCGCCCGGCAGGAGGCTGCTGCCGGTGGAGGGCAGGGCGGTGCTGGTCACAGGTGAGCGCGGTGCGGTGCCGGGGTGCTCCGGGTGGTGCCGGGGATGCGCTCCGGGGATGCGCTGCTCGCCGGGGAGACGCGCGGACGGCGCCGGGGTCGCTCCTCTCGGAGGGGGTTGCGCTTCCGAGGGGTGTCCCGGTGTGAGCGGGTGCCTCCCAGCCCGGGGTGGGTTCGTGGAATCGTTTGGGTTGGAAGGGACCCGAAAGGCCGTTTGCACCCGCGGTGAGCAGAGACTCCCGCAGCTCCATCAGTGCTCGCAGCCCCGTTCCCTGACCTTGGCTGTCTGCAGGGATGGGGCAGCATCAGCTCTCCGTGCAGCCACTGCCTCACCGCCCTGAGTGTAAAGAACTTCTTCCTTATCTCTAATCTAAATCTGTCCTCTTTTGGTTTGAATCCGTTTCCCCTTGTCCTGTGGCAGCAGACCCTGCTAAAGAGTCTGTCCTCTTCTCTCTCGCAGCCCTGTGGAGGTACCCAGGGTTGCTGAGCTCTGGAGAAGGGCAGCCCCAAGGAGGAGGGAATGGTTCAACCCTAAAGTCGGGGCTGTGGGGCAGCCCGGTGCCACGGGGCAGTGACACCAGCCATGCACAGGTGTGTACAGTGCCTTCCTCCTGGCCGTGGGGCTGCAGGGAAGGAGCTGTGAGCACCACTTGGTGCTGCCCTGACGTCCCGTTGGGCTCTGGAGAGCTGACCCAGGGAATCACCGAATCATTAAAGCTGGAGAGAAAACCTCTCAGATTCAAGTCCAAACCTACTCTCACCGCATCCCTCAGTGCCACATCTCCACTGTTCTTGAACACCTCCAGGGACAGTGATTCCCCCACCTCCCTGTGCAGAGCCTCACTTCTCATTCAGAGTTTCTCCTAACGTTCTCCAACCAGCTCCAAAGAGAAGGGGAAGGCTGAGCCGAGCCATGGGGCAGGACGGTGCCATGGGGCAGGACGGTGCCATGGGGCTCACCCAGCGTGGGGTTGGCATCAGCTGCGCGACGGTG